TATATAAAATTCTAAATGATTTTTTAGATTTATATTAAATATATTTACTTTTTTAGAATCAAGATACACTCGTAAAAGAAATTGTAATTTGTTTATTACAAGGTAAATATGAAATACAAAGCAAAATCGTGATGAGCTTATGAAGCAAAACTGAAATAAATAGTGAAATCTGATGTGCCTGTAAGGCCTGCAAGGCAATAAAAATTTCAGAGTTTTTTTCTTATTGTTCGTTTAATTTCATTTTTTTTATATCATATGTTTAATTTTATTTTTTTTTTTTTCATTTTTTATTTGTTTTATTTTTCTGTTTCATTTCATTTTCTTATTTTCATTTTTTTATTTCATTTTGTTTTCTTAATTTTGTTTTAAAGTTTCTTTTTGTTTTTTTATTTTATTTTATTTTTCTAATTTTGTTTTATAGTTTCTTTTCGTTTGTTTAATTTTATTTTTTTGTCATATCTCATTTACTTAATTTCGTTTTATAGTTTTATTTTGGTTTCTTAATTTCATTTTTTCATCTCGTTTAGTTTTCTTTTTATTTTATTTTTATTTTTTATTTTTTCTTTATTTTATTTTTATTTTATTTTAAAAAAAATAAATTTTTTTTAAAAAAAAATTTAAGTAAATTAATAAAACTGTTATACAATGATTAACAAATTATATATTAAAATAAAATGACTAGAATTTACAAAATAACGTAAAAATATTTCTGGAAAAATTATATCATAGTAAAATTATATTTGTGTAATAAAATCAGTAATTATCTACTATAACGAATAATTCGTTATAGTATTAATGAAGATTCTTATAATGAAGTCCTGATTAGCTAGATCAGTAACTTCATTATATTGAGTCATGACTGTATATCTTTCTTTTTTTCTTTCAAAAAAGTAAAGTGTTTCTTCATTTTATTCTATTTATTAGATAAATATTCTAATATATTGATATAAAATTACTTTTCTTCAGAAAAGTTATTATATTATATACAATAGGTTATTATTAAATTAAAATTCAATCACATAAAGTTTCTTTTATTACTTTTTACGGATAAAGCTTGTTTATAAGATAAGATTATTTTATTTAATAAAAGATTATATGTTATAATAAAATTCAAATATAGTGATGCAAAATCTAAATCAGATACAGAATATTTATTTTTAAGTCTTTTTATCAGTGAAAAAAATATATGCTCTAAAAAAACTCCTAGTTTGTATAATATAATATTGGTTAAGATCCCTCTTTATTATTCACTAATACCTAAAAGATTATATATTTTTATTTCTTTTACAAAATAATATGCACTATATAATGATAAAAAAAATATAGATACTACCTCTTTATACTCATTTATTATAATATACTTAACTATTAATTATTGACAGCTAAAATTATCAATAATATAATATTCAGCTATTCACATATCTGCTCTGTTAATATAGAATTTGTTTTTTTTAATGCTTTTTTATAATACTTAAATATTAAAAAAATTGCATATATAATTTGTTATTGAGTTTAAGAAATAAGCTAGAGAGTCTTTTTTGCTTTTAGAATATAATTTCATTAAACAAGATCAAACATCAATCACTATATATTTAAAATTTTTAAAATATTTTGAATAGAAATTCCTATTATTAATCTTTATATTATTATATTAGTATTACTATTTTATAATTTTTGAGACTCAATGATTTGAATGATATATGATCAAATATCTATACAAAAATCTCTAATTTCTTAGTTTTTTTACTAAAGATGATCACTACAATTAAAAAAATAATGCAATTAAATTGCAACTTGTAACACAATTAAATTTTCTTATAATATAATTAAGTTGCAACTCAATTGAAATTTGAAAATAATTATGAAGACCATTTTATTCTTACAATAAATTTTCAGTCTATTGAGAATCATTAAACCTATTTATATGTTTAGGATTAAAGTTTTTAATATAATATAAAAACTTTTAACAAATTTACTTAATTCTCATATATAATTATAATCTAATATGAGTCTAACGTAATTTTAATATTAATAAGTCAGCTTTATTTTAATAACTTTAAATTATTTTTCTAATAAACTATTATACAAATCATGAATATGTTAGATTCATTACTTTTTGTAATAAAGAATTTATCTAATCTATATATACTATATATCTCTATATCTTATGTAAGAATAAGAATGTAATTTTATAAAAGTATAAAGAAAATCAATAGATTATTATAATCATCTTTACTTATTAGATTATAGAAACTCAAAAGAGATAAGTTACTTTTCAGATATATTCATATGAATAATTATTTAATATTATCTAACTTAAAAGAGGTAATTTTTCTTTACAGATTACTTTATGATAATAATATATAGGAGTAGATTATCAGAAGTAATACAAATATCATCTTTATAAACTACTTTTAATGTATTATATCAGTTAAATTAGTTTCAAATGATAAAATGTATATATATTTTTCTTTTTTGTATGATATTTTCAGAATAGAAAAGAATTAATAATCTTAATTCTAAATTTTGATATATTTTTGAAGATATTAGATAATATATTTATTAATCTAATTTTAAATATAAATAAAGTTATCTCTTCAGATATTACAATATCAAAAAAGTGTTTGATATCAGTAATATTTACAATTGCCTTTTGTCAATTAATTAAAGTACTAGTAATATATAAAATATAGGTAAAAATTTCTTTTACATATGCAGTATCATCATTAACTTCAGTAGGTATGAAATAAATAATATAATTATTAAATAGGCGTTATTAAAATATAGTAATTATTCTATTATTATATTGTTATAGTCAGTTCTTTAAGAGGCTTATAAGTGATAAGCAAAGCAATATTTATAGGTGGTAAGCAGAAGGTTTAATTTGATAATTAGATTTAGAAGAGTGTTAATAAATTAATAGTTTATTTATAACTATAACAATGGAGTACTTTCTCAGTCAGTGCTAATACTATATAAAGTTAATCTTATTGTATCATAAAGATTGACGAATGATCGATGTTATTAATATCATTAATATTTTTAACTTAGTTAACATTTTTATTTTATTTAATTTATTCTTATATTTTATTATTATTATTATTATATTAGTATTATCGTTAAATTATAATTTATCTTTTATATTTATCTTATCGTTATAAAATAGTTTAGCATTAGATAGTAATTTCTTATAATTGTATTTTTATATAAATAAGATAGAAATTTGTCTTTACAAAAGGATAGAGATAACAGTGTAAACTCAATAGTTCGAATTCAAGACTTAGAATCTAAGATTAAGGATTGCTAAGGATATAAATCTCTATAATAAAGGAATCTCTTTCTAAACTACATATATTAAAAATCCTTTAACGTGTCAATTATATTTATTGTATCTATAAGTTATTAAAGTTATTTTTACTTATTTAAAGTATAAACTTAAAGTTGATTGTGATAGGACTTATTTCACAGTAACTTAATAGTTTCTCGCATGTTACTCCCTGTTATTAAGTCATAATTACCCTAAGTTTGATGGGCTGAGCGTAAAGTTAACAGCGCTCTATACTATAAGATTATGTTAAGAGAATTAAACTAAACTATAATAAAACTATGAGTCAGACATATTATTAAGCTAAAAGAAATTGTTTTCTATTTATATAAAATGAAAAATATAAAGTTATCAAAGATATAAAGAAATAAATATAATAAATAAAATATAATACTTATATGAGATAAATAAAATAAAATAAATAAAGAAATATATTATATAAAAGAAAAGTGCTATAAATGATATAGATGACATAGAAAACATATATGATTTCTTAAGGATCGATGTCATCCTTTAGATTATCATTATCTATGTCTTTTTCTGTATAATATTACTCCTTTTTAAGATTTTGTATCCCTGCATAAATCTTAGCAGCTTTATCAATTATATTATTATATTCTGTTATTGATAGTCTAACTATTAATTTAAGGGTAGTTCTTTTACTTTATGTAATCTATGCTGATTCAAAGAATTCAAAAAAATAATATATTTGTATAAATACACAATAGTAATGTTTAAATAACTTCTTGACGTACATTGAGCGAACTGTGGGGTCTTTTATTTTTTCTATAAACTTTTCAAGATAAAGGTATTTGTCAGTATTAAAATACAATTGTTCATTCATTTAGCTTTTTGTAACATTTGATTTGTAAAGGAAAGCTTCATTTTCAAGGGTATAGTTTCTCTGTAAGGTGAAGGATACATCTCAATTTCTTAGAATATGATAAGTTGCAGATTAGTATAAATTAATTAAAAATTCTGAAAAAATGTTTTAGTATAGGTAGCACAGGTCGAACTATAAAGAATCAGGATATTAAAGGCTGGTTAAGAATCGGGTTCATATCAGGTTTCGATTTTTAATTAGCCCTTATTTTTTTATCATTAAAAAATCAGAATCCCGATATAGATATAATTTGTATATGATAAGTTGCTGATGTTTTTCAAGACATATTATTAAAGAATAAGTTAATAATAAGTGACAAATCGATTTTCTGATTTTTAACAAATAATTTCTCAATTTGGCATTAAAGAATCAGTAAACAATCAAAATATCCCGATATTTCAAGTAATAATATCTGATGCTTTTTTACATATATATTATAACTTTTCTTTGTAATTTATATAGTCAATATTTTACGTAAGTATATTGCGAACTATAATATAAAACAAAAACATATATATTATAACGAAATAAAAAATCCAATACATATATTAATAAATCTTATTTAAACATGAAACTTTCTATTGATCAGTATTACTAACATATATTTTTAAGGATTTTTTATACCTATTAAAAAGGAACCTTCAATGAACTGACCTAAAATACTGTGTATCAGGATTATACAATTCCTGCTAAGTTCAAAAAAATCCTTTTTCATAGTTCAATATTGCAAGAACTATTATCATTACCGATCTTACAATTGAATCTAATTTTGTGATCTTCTGTTAGAAGGTGCTATCTTACAAATGCTAATGAATGTTTCTTAGGTTCTTTCAAAAGATAAAGCGTATGTTTTAAATAAAACTGAACAATACTTGAATAAGTATCTTTCATATTTTCATGAGTAAATTGTGCCAAAATTTTTGCCAAATTGGTATATTTTTTTGAGTATGCAGAACTGAAAACTTTGGATCTAAGTTGTAATCGCCTATATATGTCTACTTGTGATAATACTGGAATAGCTTTGGATGAAGCAGTATAAATATTTGACAATGCTACAAATTCTTTATCATTATATACATTTTCGTAATATTCAACTAATAAATCTAACACTTCTTTTTCAAGATTTGTATTCATGTTTTTGAGTTTAAGAAAAGTACCCAGAAATTATTCTAAACTTGTACCAGTTATTATTTCTACGTCTTTGAACATTGATAAAAATTCTCAATAATCTATTTCATTAAATTTGTCAAGAAATCTAAGGCTTCTAATTACTTCTTTCAGAGATATTAGAGGCAAGCAGGCGGATAAGTGTATATGTTAAATATGTGATGATGAATACATATCAAGTAAAGAATTTTGTTAAATGATTTTTAACAACTCCAGTTTGATTCTTCTGTTACTGCTATAATATGAACCTAAAATATGAAATATGAATTAATTTACTTTTAATAGAATATTAATTTGATAAGAGAATCATTATTACCTAGTAAGCCGTTCATACGTTCATAGCTAAAGCACTAAAATGCGTAGAGGTGACCATAGTCTAGTACACAATTACATATATATAAACATAAATGTAGATTTAGAGTAATTTTTTCTGAACCGTAATCCTCTTCAATAAGCTTTACCATTATTAGAAGACGATTGTGAGCTTCTTCTAATCCATTCTTAAATATAGACCTACATACAAGAATATTGCATACACGAATAAAATTGGCAAGAATATTTTTATCAGTCTCTCCAAGCAGATCCCATATAATAAATGTGGTATAGATTAAAATGAACGTGCGTTATTGATCAGTAGTAAAACGAGAAAACCCTTCATCTTTGGCGATTTTGAATGGAATTCTACTGATGTCTGATGGAATGTGTATTTGATTTGCTCAGGTTTGCATTTTATCAAGATCATCAGGTATCAACCTGCCGTCTTCAATCTAAAGTCAGGTTACAATCTATTTAGCAACCCCTAAGAACAAACAGTGCATAGGGTTGATAATAAGAAAATTTACTGAATCAAAAGTATTAGAGACGGTAAATTTCGAACTAACACACACAAGTATTGTAGACATGGATATTTCTAGCATCTTTAGTATTACACTTTAGCCATTTCTGAACATTATTTCATACTTGATTTACATCTCTTTTGACGAACCAATCGTCAATATCCTTGAATCTACTAAAATTAGATTGATTATGATCATTGAATCGCGCTCTTTTTAAGCATCTATGGCAAGCTATACGTGCTGATATAAATCTGCAAAGTTTTTGTGCTGCTGGTATATTATACGAGTAACAAATTATTGTAACTCGAACAGATTTACCATTAGATTTTTCATATGTTGCTGACAATTTGATTCCATTTCATAATTTAATTAATTGATCGATTAATGAAACTAAGTAATGGTTTAAATGATGGAGGCTTAGTTCATTTGGACTGAGAATTAGAACTATTGTTAAAATGTTTGATGGCTTGAATCTTTCACTTCTTGGAAGGTTACATATTATGTCATATAGTATTCTAATACTATATGCTGAGTTATCGAATGGTTGGAACCAGTTGAGATTCAGCATAATTCCCAAGTGACTATCTGATACTTCTTTTTGAAAGAATGGTAAATTTTTATCTGGATTTTTAAATGTTTTCCATATTCTCCCATCATAAATATCATTTAAATATCGAGTGTTATTATTCTTTTCTGCCCATTTCCTACAAGACTCTTCAAATCCTTTCTAATTGTATATTAATTGTAATTGATTTTTTAAATTAACAACTGAAAATATTGTAGAAGGCTAATAAATTATTCCATCCATAATATGGACCTTTTTATTAAGTTTATTCATACATCTCTTTCTTTGATTCTTCATAGAATAGTTCAGAAAATTAATATAGGTACAATTGTTTATTGCTGGAACTTGATTAGATTTATCAGATGACACTTCCATTACTTTATACAATTTACAACATTTTGCATAGCTTGCATAATTAATAATATAGGCATAAACACTAAGCACCTTATGTGTCATATATAGTGATATAGGAAAAGAGTGATTTGTACTTGTATCAATGAGATCTAAAATATATTTGATAAATTTGATTAAAGAATTAGTTACCACTTCAGATAATTGATTTCTTTCTTGGTATAATAAAATCCATAGAACTATTCAATTAGATCCCTCATTAAAGTCGACGAAAGGTACTTTCAGATCATCATCGTATATATTGCTTGGTACACTAAATTTACTAAACGAATATTCTTCCTATTCATTGATAGAATCTAAGTCACTATCATCATCATCAACTTGATTATCTTTAGCGTTATCATCATCAAAAATACTTTGTTCAATAATAATTATAGGATAATTAAAAGTTGTATCACCTTTTGATTGTTTTTTTATTTACTTTAGGAAGAAACAAGTAATTTTCTTCTGGATTCTGAGTCAAAGGTTTTAAAGTTTCTGGAAGATCAAGCTCAAATTCATTATCACCATCTGATATGTAAACTTCTGTATCTTGGTTTAGATCTTGATTTAACTCTGTACTTTCGATAATCCATCTTGCTGTAATTTCTTGATTTAATATTAAATCATATTTTTTTTATGCGCAGATCAATCATCTGACCTTTATATTTATCACAATCACATTGAACTTTTCTTGATTTTATATTAGGTTTATTAGAATTCTTTACAAATGACTTTTTATTTTTTGATTTCTTGGCATATTTAATTTGATAATACAAAATGAATTAAAAAAAAATAAAAAAAATAAAAAATAAAATCAATATAAATATAGCCGATAACCGATTTTTTGATGAATTTGGATGACAATAATATAATTTGATCTCGTTATTGTTTGCTATTTTTAATCGAAGTCTGAATAATAAGTCATATAATTTTGCTATAGTTTAATTTACATAGAATAACATGATTAACTATTATATTACTAACAAAAGTATGTGTTACTAACAAAGTATAATTTACTATAAAAGGATAATGAGTTCACATGAGTGTGAAATGTTTTTTTTTCTTCTCTTTCCTACATAATCATTTATAAAGAGTTAGTTCAGTTTTTTCCTGACGTATGTTCTTTTTTTCGTATATTCTTTATAAAATAAGTTAGTTCTGTTCTTACTGACATGGTAAGTTATCAAATATATATCAAAATTGCCTTTATAAAATAAGTTAGTTCTATCCTAATATGGTAAGTTATCAAATATATATCATTACATATCAAGATTATGAGTCTAGGTCATATTATACAAGTGTCAGAAGGATATGTTATTACTTTTCAAAAAAAATAAGGTATAAAAGGAGACATTTTTTACTTTTATTTTAGTTCTTTTTTCATTATTAATTGGTTTAATATACGTAACAAAAAAGTTTTTAAACTCAAAACTGTTAATACAGCAAGGGCTTCAGTATCTGTTCATCGCAAAGTAATAGAAAGATCTCTTTCACCAGCTCTAAGATTAAATAATGATAGATCAAGTACCAGAAAAGACCATTCATCATATAACGATAGGTTACAAAGTGAAGAAAGAGAACGTTCTCACGAGATTATCCTTCACGATCATCAAGTATTAGAAGAGACCATTCGCCATACAACAATAGGTTACAAAGTGAAGAAAGAGAACATTTTTCACGATCAAGAGACCAACCAGAAAGAATCAGAACACCTATTAACGATCAATCATAAAATACAAATATAGTAAGATTATTAGTATGATTAAATCATTAATATAATTACAACTAATAATATTATACATTCTCACTTGCAATCTTACAATATAGATATCGAAACTTTTGAAACCTTAAATAGAAATGTACTGAAACTTACAGAAAAAGTTAACAAGCTTAAAAAAAGAAATTCATCCTTTTCTGATAATGATAATTGTCAACTCTCATCAGAACTAAAATCTGGATATAAACAGCAATTTACTCTTAAAGACATAACTGAAGAACAATATAAAGTATTTCATGTAAGTATCAGACACTATGATTAATAACAAATAAATTTTAATTAATTTTTACAAATAGGATAACGTTGTAACTGTTTTGGAAAGACTTGACGAATCATTGCAATTAGATTATACTAAAAAATGGACTGAGATCAGTCAAGATATCTCAAGAAATATGATCAAAGAGATTGACAAAGTCATGAGAGGAAGATACTAATACAAGAAAATAGAATTAAAATGGGTTTTGTAATAATTATACCATCATCGCTAAGAAGTCTGGAAAATAAAGCAAGATCCTGATAAAGCTAAATCAGATAAAAAGAGAAAGGGGATTAATTCTTAAAGAGATGATGTAAGTAATCGAAAATAATTAAATAGAATAAATTATATTACTAACATTTATTTTGATAGAAAAAGGAGCGAAAACAGAAAGGGCTTACATATATATTTAATACAAATGACGCAATACTCACTGAACTCAGACTGATATGCATATTACAAGAAAAATTTAAAGAAGATTATGAAACTATAATGAATAAAGGAAAGTATTATAGTGATGAAGTTTCTGAGACTGATAAAGACCTCTGTGACAAAGAAATAGACCAATATATCAGACCAAAGAACAAGAAAAAAGGCAACAAACATGTCCTACATGTTTATGATAAAAAATGGAGATCAAGCTGTGTAAGTATCATATTGGATAAATCGATATATATAATCAACTTGGTTATATTTATTGATTAATTTCTTAATAGCTTCGAAGTCTACTCCACAAGATAGATAAAGTTGACAAGAAGATTAGTCATATAAAAACAACATGAATTTGCTAGTACAAAGATAAATTTAGTTTGATAATTTAACCCTACCCAAAAATGCTCTGGCATGAACAATTTCACAATCATACCACTCTGCTACAGATAATGACGATGACAATGACAATGATAACTAAGAAGTTCAGTAATGATGATATATATGTAAATAGTATATATTATAAAAAGCATACAACAAAATTTTATAAAAGCAATATGTATTCATAAGAGTATACAAATAATAAAATATAACATGTTATTATGGTTTATATAAAGTAAATATACAATTGAACTATATATCTATAAATGTAAACATAGTAAATATAGAATATCAGGTTTTAATTTCCTATAGTTACACAAATATTAGATAATTTTTTACTGATATTTTAATGATATTTTGTGATAATTCAAGAGTATCGTATAAATATAGGACAAATATTAGCATTGTTAAAAATCTGATTCTTTTCTAATTTCTACCTGAAATTTATGAAGTATTTTATGTTCTGATATTTTACCGAAGTTGTTCAGAATCTTAGCAAGAATAAGTGAAGAATCAGAAATGATCATTAGTTAAGTATCATGGTAAATTCAGAAAAGAATCAGTAAAGAATCAGAATTATAATTTTTTACTGGCGCTTCCCTTTTCAATCTATGTAGGGATGCTTCTAACTCTTCCATCTTATTAATTTATCAATTTCAAGTTAGGCTCCCTCCTATTTAAATATTTTTCAGCTAAAATGTTTTAGCATTTTCTATAAGTTTCTTCAATTTTCAATCAGTATAATGGGCTGAGGTGAATTACGTTAGTGATACTGTTTTAATTTATCACTATTTATAGGTGTTTTTAAGATCTTTCTGTCTAACGTTCTCAATTTGTATACTTCATTCTCAAGATCAGCATGAATGTAATTCAGTTCTTTCCATCTTTTCTCAAGCTTTTTTTTATCTTGTAAATTATTTTTATATATTAGAACTAATTCTCTAACTTTAAAGTTAACACTTCTTTTCAATTTGCAATCATGTTGCTCCTTTTATTTCTTTTGAGAGTTTTGAATATTATTTTATGCTTATTGTATTTCATTATCTATCCTTTCAGTTATTTATCATTTATAATTAATTAAATCTTCTTGTTTAGCTAACGTTACATTTTACATATCTAATATTTGTACTTAAAATTTGATTAGCAATATAGTATTTCTCCTATAGGTTAAGTAAAAAAGTTCATGTCATGTGATACTATGCCTTTTTGTATAATATGCAAATAAGGTGGATAGTAAAAAATTATTACAATCATTTTTATTTTCATTTGTGAATTTTATTAGTATTTCACACAAAGTCTTATTAAATCGCTTAATAAGATTATTAGTTTGAGAATGATATGCAGTTGTCAACTTATGCTTTATTTCTAATTTTTTACATAAAGAATCTAGCATTTGATTTACAAAATACGTTTTCCTATTGGTTAATAATTCCTTGAGGCATTCATGTCTATAAATTATATCTTCATAAAAAAAAGGAACTACTAAGAATGCTTTTGCATTCATAAGAGCTCTAACTTCAGGCCACTTAGTCAAGTAATCAATCGCTACTATAATATATTTATTTCCTTTGTTTATTATGAGTAAAATCTTAACAATATTCATTTCTACTTGATCAAATGGTTATCTAACTTTTATAGGATGCAATGGCTCAGTCCTCTCTTCTTTGACATTCATTGTAAGTTTGAATATATTATCATACATGGTCATATATTTGTGACTAATAGTATTTTACTTTGATTTTTCTGTAGGTTTTCTTTAATGCAAAATATCCTGCCAGAAGAGCAGAGTGCAAATTGTATATATAATATTAATTTTATTAATTTTTATAACTTTTAAAGGTCGTTAGAGTTTCTGTTTATTCTTTTTATAAAGCTGTCCTTCTATTACAATAAAATATCTTGACTTTTTTAATTGCTGCTTGTTGCTATTAATTTAAATATATTAGTATTTTAAATTCTAATAAATAGTATACTAGTGAAAAATATGTATCTGAATCCATAGTTAGGTTAAAATTAAAATCTGTTATCTGTGAGAGTATTCGCAAAAATAAATCTATTTGCTTTTTAAATTTGTTGAAGAACTTTTTAGTATTATATCTGGCTTGAAGTATTTACATTTGAATAAATTTTTTCAGGGTAATTAATAATTTCTATATTATAAGAGTTAAAGGTCATTAGCCAATGTCTAAGTCATTTAATAGGATTTTTCATATTCTTCAAATAAGCCAAAGCAGCATGATCAGTTATTACTGTAAATTTATGTTTATGTAAATAGTGATGATAATATTACACTGCCTATATGACAGCTAAGCATTCTACTTCAGTTATAGAATATTTTCTTTTAGGAGATCTCAAAGTTCTACTTGTATATGTGATTACTCGTTCTTTTTTCTTATCATTCTTTTGAGAGAGAATTACTCCTAAAGCAAAGGAAGAAGTATCAGTATATAAAATAAAAAGTCTTTCAAAATCTGAGTATGCAAGAATGGGTGAAGATGTTAAACATCTTTTCAATAATTCAAAAGCATCTTATTACTCTTGTGTCTAAATGAAAGAAGTATTCTTTTTAAATAATCTATTTAAAAGTTTGATAATATTAACAAAGCCTTTTATGAATCTTCTGTAGTATAATGTTAAAGCAATGAATCTTCTGAGTTGTATCAAGTCTTTTGATACTGAAAGTTTTTCATAACAGCTATTTTATTTAAATCTGTTTGAATTCCCTCTCTGCTAATTACATGTTTAAGGAATGGTAATTCCTATTCAAAGAAGAAACACTTTTCTAAGCTTAGTTTTAGTCTGGCTTGTCACAAACATAAAAATACTTGTTCTAGTTATAGAAGATATTTGTCAAACGTTTTAATGCCAATATTAATGTTATCAATATATACAACCACATTTTGTCATCAGATATCACATAAAATGATATTCATTAATCGCTGAAATATTGCAAGAGTATTGCAAAGTCTAAAGGGCATAACATTAAACTTATATGTGCTAAATCTAATAATGAAAGTAATCTTTTCTTTATTTTTAGGATCTAATTCTACTTTCTAGAGACTACTTGCAAAATCCAGAAAAGTAAATTATCTGAATCCTTCTAACGTTTCTAACTTATTGTTATAAGAAGATATTGATCTAAAAGATCATATGATATATGTGACTAAAAGACATATTAACTGCGCTATGTTAGATGACGAAGATGGTGAAGATGAGAGAATAAATTAAATAAAGATTATACGAAAAATCCAGAAGTCATCAGAAAATTCTATTATATTATTAATCATTTTGTATTATTAATTATTTATTATTTATAATCAATTAATATTTTATTTATTTATATTAGCAAATTTAGTATAAA